CTCTCTTCTACAGACTGGAGAATCAGATGCTTAGAAAAACTGCGACCCATGTTCATGCCCAGAACACTTTTATGTGGTCACTAAAGTCACGCAACCCAGACATATGAAAATAATTTCAGAATGACTTGGGTGTCTTCATATATTCATTAAAGCGCCTACTACAATAATTCCCCCATCACACTCATGAGACTCCTTTAAAAAGCCTGTAGTTCTAGGAAAGTACATGACAATTCTGTCTCTAGGAGCCAGTAAGAAGTATAATTGGAAAAGGAGATCACTATTTATTGATTAATTAGTTTTTTGCTATACTCCTATTGCCTTTCTTCCCTCATTCTTTCTCAGATACTTCCTTGGGACATGAACACCAGAGAATAAAAAAGACCAATAGGACCAGGAAAACTGTTTTGAAGTCTATAGGCTAGGAAAGGCAAATTTTGGAAAGCTCAATTAATAATTTTTATTCTGTGCATTAAATCAAAATATATTTCTGGACTCATACCATTCTTCTTCTATCAGCTCATTTTCCCCTTTCCTCTAGGTCCAGCACTGGATTACCTACACATGTAACACACACATACCTTCAATATTCATTCTTTTTTTCTTCCTTTTTTAATCTTCTGCTTTTAAGCAATAGTGTTGGCAAGGACTTACCAATCATTATCCTAGTTTAGTGCTGACCCACCAAGAAAGACTTTTGAGTTTGAACTGAAGGAATATAAAAGAAAAAGAGGGTAAGGAAGTCCTTTTTAACAAAGTGCTGATAATTGTTTAAAGGAAAATATTGGAACATTTATATTGATAGCTTTTCATTTCCTGCTTCAGTTTGTAATACCTATGGGATTTAGGAAATAAATGCTATTTTAGACAAATTTCATTTGGTCAACATGGATCCATTTGCTCTTTTCCTGATTGCAGCTGAAATAAATTGTTCTCTCACCCTAGTCTTCTTCCCTGCCATCTCTTTTAGATGTCCTGAGCAAATCTCTGATTGCCACAAAGCACTTTCAGCATCCGCCGACCCTCTCCTACAAAGAGTACAAAATGAAAGATTGTTTCCTTCCTCCTCCATGGAAAGCAATGAACCTATTTTAGGGAAGATGAAAATTCAACCTCTTTGAAGGAATATACAAACTATTGGTTAACATTTTTGATCAGTTTGCTAACAAACCTCCCCACAAATCAAGGACAGGCAAGTGAGCTTATTTCATGAGACTGGTTTCTATATTTTTAAAATGAAATGCTAATAGTATTGTTTTCAAAAAAATCTCTTCAGTAACATAATGCTTAGCAAACAGAAGTCCAAGGCAAAGCCATAATGTCACCTCACCTGTAGATTCAGTCTAGAACATATACTAGGAAAGAAGACATGTCACTGGCAGATATTACATACACCTTCTCATACTGATGGTATATATATTCATGGAAGAACATAAAATACATTTCACTGTGTTGGCTTTGCAGTAAGTGAAAGTTATAAAGATAAGTAAGTTGATAACTGTGGAGAGCAAGATGTCACAAAGGACTCCTAATATTAATGCATTCTAATTAAACAAGTTTGAGACATTTCATAATTAAAATGTTGAAACTGGAAGAAAACAAAAACTCTTGGTCTGTTGGTCCCCAGGATGTGGGAGAAGTACAAAGTGTCGCTCCCCCTCTTCGTGGAGGAACGACACTAAACCCTGCCTAGGCTTCATATCCGAGTCACGGCACCATTATGTCGCTCCCCGTCTTCGTGGAGGAGCAACACTGAACCCTGCGCTGTTCTTTCGTCTGCTCGGCCCTCCCCGGGTTTGCTGCTGGTTCTTCCCGGGTTGGCTACTGTCCCTTCCACCTCCGTGGAAGGGCAGTTCCCCCTGGCCACATTCCCCACTTCCGCAGGGGAGCGGCACACCGCCGGCCGGCTTTCTCGGGGGCTGCACGGGTGTTCCTTCAGCTAGATGTTCCCCTTAGATGTTCCCCTTAGATGTTCCCCATAGATGTTCCCCATAGATGTTCCTGGTGCATGCCGTCTCTCTCCTCCTTTATAGTCCTCCTCCGCCAATCCCAACTCGGCTGCCCACACGCCGAGTACGCTGCTCTCCAATCAGGAGCAAGTCCTACAATTTATTGGTTGAACTGGAGGCAGCTGTGCGGAAGCTGTTTACTTCTCTCCCAGCGCCATATTGTGGGAGAGCAGATGCATAGAATAAGTCTTAATTCCAGTAACTTAGTCCAGTCCGGATTGCTCCCCACACAAAGTTTGCATAAGCTTGGTTTTTCTTCTACACACATTTCTTCTGTATCAGTCTAGAAATAGCCTCTCCTCATTCCTGCTTTTATTTCTGCCAGAACATGTTGCTGGGTATGTGTTTTTTAAGGATCTCTAAGAATATCCTTGGCAGTAATATTTCCCTTAGAGAATTGGGAGGCAGAGGGCAGATATCTTACACCCCCACGGGATGGAAATTCTCCTTAGTTATTAACACGAGAGCTGCCACAGGCTGCCAGAAGATGACAAATCACCACTGTGTATTCCTTTGGGTCCCTTGGGGAAAAGGAAGGCAGGGAAACAAACTCATTGTGAACAGTGTGTGGCATTCTAAGAGGCCATCTGGAGCTACAGCGCTAGAGAAGGCTGTGTAGAAAAGATTAACATGGCCACAGCTTCTTCTCTCCTCCAGGAATTAGCTTCTAAGCTTCTTCACTTAGACTTCCCGAACCCTAAGGTCAACCCCCATTCATAGCCCGTTTTAACCTGAGGTATTAATCAGCGCTAGGGCATAGTTACTGAATAAATGGATGCTTCCACAATCAACCAACTACACATTCAGACTTCCATGACTATGAAAAAGCCAATACATGTAAAATTGTGTGGTTCATGATTTGTTCACTGTCTGTCTTAGCTGAGAAAAACTATGAGGAGAAATTGAATAATGAGGACAATTTCAGGGCTTTGGACAAGAACAGAAAGGAAAAGCTATACAAAATGATGCTGAACATATTTTGATCCCAGCCAACAATTGTGTACTAATTATCTACTGCTGCATAACAAATACCAATGCCTAGCAACTTACAACAATGTTATTTTCTGGCAGTTTCTTTGGAGCAAGAATTCAGGAGTGGCTAATCTGAGAGCATCTACTTCCAAGTCTTTCACAAAGCTGCAGTCAGCGGCTGATGGGGCTCCTGCCCTCTCATGTTACCTGAGGGAGAGCCCCTCCAAGCTCACTCACACGGCTTTGGTCCACGACTTACTTCCTCATAGGTTGTTGGACTAAATATCTCCGTTCTTCACTGGCACCAACCACAGAGAGCTATGGAAATCATCCTAGTGATTTTATTTCTTATTTTCTTGCCTTTGATTTTTGACAGGGTAAAAACCACAAGTCTATTGTCAATTAAACTTAAAATCTCTGTGTTTGGAGAATATACATTCCCCAAACCTCAAAATGTCTGAGTGCCACTCTGTTTCTGGTCACCTAGCCAGCCCTCTACTGACCAATCAGATCTCCATGTCAAAGTTCCCCTATTTTGGGGAGCCTATCTTTGCCCCCACTGACCAGGTTCTTGTCCCTGTGTGATTCAATTTTATGTCACCCTGTGCCTCTACTAGCCGTTGACTCACCATAACTATAATGATTTATATCTGCCCAACTGCAAGTTCAGTGTGTCAGGGCACCATGTCTTATTTGTTTCTTCCTTTATCATCCAGATGAAGCAAAGCCGAGCACAGAGTAAACACTTAGGATTCTTTTTTCCTGAGCACAGAGTAAATACTTAGGATTCTTTTTTCCTGTCAAGTATGGGCTAGTGGAGCATTTCCTAGATTAACATACTTTAGTATTTCCTGTATTCTAGGCAGGGGTGCTTACATTCCATTCTGTTATTGTTGGGGATGGGAGGGGTGGGCAAAAACCTTCTTGTTGGGTTTCTACTACTTTAATGAATCTGAGAAGTATCTGTAAAATGAATACTGCCAGAATTTATGGCTTCAAAAGATCTAAAAAGAAGTCACTATTGGTAGGCTTTCTTTCCTAAGGCCTGACCCCCTGTGGCCTATTTCATGGACCTGTCCTCTGTAATGCTGTACAAATATCATTTCTTTATCTCCAGGAGCTGCTAAACTCTGGGTGGCAGCAGGAAACACTGGAGCTGGCAAAGAGTTCAGTGCTGAGTTCATAGCCCTGTTAGACTATATTTGACCAAAAAGAGAGGTTTACTTGAGAAGAAAAGACCAGGCTCTTTGGGCTTCCTTGATCCTAGCTCTCAGTCCGTCATCATGCAGTCAGGACATCAATCTGGTATTTCCTGAGAAATAAGGGAGAAGTCAAAATTTTGGATCATAGAAAGACACAGATAATACTCTTCCTAGGACTTTTTCTTTTATGTAGTTATGTATAAAAAAACCATTAAACATGCAATTAGGATATGTGAGTTCTAATCATCCCTACCACCTAACTGGGTGATAAAATCATTTTGCATTTCCTTTTTGCATCTCAGGTTTTTCATCTACCAGATAAGGGACTTGGACTGGATGACTACTTAGTTCTCTTGTACTTCAGATGGAATAATTTCCTTTCATACATGATACAAATGGTTCCAGCTGCCACGTCACAGTCTCATCATGTGAAATCTTTTCACTGTTTGGCAGCACATTTCTGCCAAAGCACATCGAGGTAGAATCATTTGACACAGAAGGTGATTTCTCTATACCCTCAGAAGACTCTGTCTTCCTATCACTTGAGGATGATCTGTCCACACTCTTTCCCTGGGTCGCCTATGGAAATACCAGCTCCCATTTGTGTCAAATATGTTTCTGCTGATTCATATATTTCACCTGACCATCCCAGAACCCAATGATGAGATTAGGGAAGTTCCTCCTTTCAAAAAGCAGATTCTCAATAATTTACTTTTAGATTTTTTAAACATTTAATAAATATAAATTTCCAAAGTACAGCTTTTGGATTACAGTGGCGTTTCCCCCCCATAACTTCCCTCCCACCCGCAACCCTCCCATCTCCTGCTCCCTCTCCCATCCCATTCATATTAAGATTTATTTTCAATTCTCTTTATATACAGAAGATCAATTTAGCATATATTAAGTAAAGATTTCAACAGTTTGCACCCACACAGACACACAAAGTGTAAAGTACTGTTTGAGTACTAGTTATAGCATTAATTCACATTGTACAACACATTAAGGACAGAGATCCTACATGAGGAATAAGTGCACAATGACTCCCATTGTTGATTTAACAATTGACACTCTTGTTTATGGTGTCAGTAATCACCCTAGGCTCTTGTCATGAGTTGCCAAGGATATGAAAGCCTTTTGAGTTCACCAACTCCGATCTTATTTAGACAAGGTCATAGTCAAAGTGGAAGTTCTCTCCTCCCTTCAGAGAAAGGTACCTCCTCCTTTGATGGTGCATTCTTTCCACTGGGATCTCACTCACAGAGATCTTTCATTTAGGTATTTTTTTTTTTTTTTTTTTTCCAGAGTGTCTTGGCTTTCCATGCCTGAAATATTTTCATGGGCTTTTTAGCCAGATCTGAATGCCTTAAGGGCTGATTCTGAGGCCAGAGTGCTGTTTAGGACATCTGCCATTCTAAGAGTCTGCTGTGTATCCTGCTTCTCATGTTGGATCGTTCTCTCCTGTAGTAGATAAACATGGCTTAGGGATTTTAAAAAAATACTATGTACTTCCTGAGTTTTCCAAATTGGCAACCTATGAATACAAGGCTCACAATGGTAACGCTGACCCAGTTACTCATATTTCACTTATCTCCTGGTTCTGTATTTATTTATTTGAAGGGCAATGAGAAAGAGAAAGAATGAGTGACAGGAACAGATACAGAGCTTCTATTCACTAACTCGCTGTACAAATGCCAGCAATAGCTAGATTGGGAGACGTGGAAGCCAAGAGCTGAGAATTTGATTCAGGTCTCCCGTGTGAATGACAGGAACCCAATTACCTGCTGCCTCCCAGTGTGCACATTGGTAGAAGCTGGAAGCAAGAGCAGAGCTGGGATTTGAACCCAGGCGTTCAGGTGTCCCAACCAGCATCTTCAACACTAGACTGAGTGCCTGCCCCTCCCTCCTGCCCATTTCTTTTTACACTTTCTGTAAGAGAATAAAAACTTGCATCATTTTCTTTATTTTCCTCCAGTTAGCAGATGGACTGGAACACTAGAGAAAGATATCTGCATTTTTACTGTGACTCTCCCCATCTACTCCCAACCACCACACCTTCTCTGAATCCCTAAGCTCTTTCTGTAACTTTCTGGAGACACATAAAACTATATCATGGAGGTGCTCAGCCCTCTGCCTCTCTGCTGAGCCGCCCACCTGGCCTGGTCAGGTGTAATCTCTCTACTCAATCATGTAACCTCACTCCCCCCGCCCCTCAGTCTCTCAGGCTCTGTCTGGAGAGGTGCCCATCCATCCTTACAGATGTCCCTTCCCTAATAAACCTTGCTATTTTACCTCCCACTACTCTCTGTCTCACGCCTGAATTCTTTCTTGCGCAAAGACAAGAACCCTGCAATTTCTCCGGTAACATTTTTGGCGACCACAAAGGGACTTTGAGAAGACATCTTGAGAAGGGAAGTTACTACCGTTCTGCAGGACTCTCCACTGTGATAATAAAAGCTGTCAAACTCCAAATGGTCGTCAGACAAAGCTTCCAGCCCATTCCACTGGACGACCTGAGCAGCCCTCTGGACCCAGCAGCACAGTCTTTCCAAGGCCACTGTCGCACACCATAAGACAGTCATCTTTATGAAAGAGTGTTTGAAAATTAAGAAATCTCCATGGATGCATCATCTGAAAGGTGTCACGGGGCCCAGCTCCTGGGAGCATGAGCTCAAAATCAAAATCATCTAGAGAACCCGATGAGGAATTTAGCCTTCAGACTCGAGATGGGGAGCATTCTCGGAGTCCCACTTGAACAAGGCAGATACAGTCACAAAGACAAATTCTCGCTTCACGGCAGGAAGTTCAAAACAAGTGAATTCGCAGAAGAGCTCTTGGCACAAGCTTTGAATTTGGAGTCAGACAGACATGGGATGGAGAATGCCAGCTCTTGGCCATCACTCTGCGATCTCTGCGAGATGTGTTTACTTCTGCATCTGCCGTACAAGTGCTGACTTCTGTCCTGCAGAGCCCCTGTGAGGCTTGGAGAGGACAGTGCATGCCCTCGGCCCCTGCCCTGCACACCCTAGGGCTTGTTCCCTGAGACTACAAACCCATGAGAGAGCACCAGTGATGCACAGACACGTGGGGATGGCACGGTGAAACTTGGCAGAAAGGGAGTTGAAGAACTGATGGCTCTCTCGTCCTTGCATTGACCTAGGACACTGGTCCTCTAACTCTCCCAAGCAGCCAGGGTGGCCATCCTGTGTTCAGTATTTCAAAAGTCCAGATCCTAGAGGGAGAACACAAAATTCTAGCTAATTCAATAAATTCGGGAGGCTCCATGGCTACAGAAGAACCAGGTCCACAGCCAGGGCAGACATGCCTTAGTGCGGGAGGAGAGGCGGGGCAGAGGGGAGGAGGGGTTACATGTCACTGGTGCCCCAGAAGGGTCTTGGGCTCTCCTGGGGTCTCTGTAACCCCAGAGCAGGGAGGAAGATGCAGACCCCAGGTCTGACTGCTGTTTCAGGTAGAGCCTTGGGAGGTAACAACAGCCCCTAGAGGGGAAGAATAAAGAAGTAACAATGAGTGAATACTAGCTACTATCCTAGAAGTGTGTGTTCTGATTTTAAAATGAATCAGTTAAAACTTTCTGCGGCAGGGGGCTGGCAGGTTGTGGTACAGTGGGTTAAGCCACAGTCTACAGTGCCAGCATCCCATACGATCACTGGAGTCCTGGTTGCTCCGCTTCCAGTCCAGCTTCCTGCTAATTCACCTGGCAAGATGGGCCAAGTGCTTGGACCCCTGCACCCATGTGGGAGACCCCGATGGAGTTCTATGCTCCTGGCTTTGACCTGGCTCAGCCCTGGCCATTGGGGCCTCTTAAGGAGTGAACCAGTGGTGAAGATCTCTCCCCCACCCCCCACCTGTCTCTGTAACTCTGACTTTCAATAAAGTAGTGCATCTTTAAAAAAAAAAAAAAAACTATATCATGGAATTTCCTAGCTTTTACCCCATTAGAAAAGTCAAACCCAAGGCTTGGACTTGCACCAACCCTCCCCATAATTTATTTTCTTGATTCTTAGAGGAAGAGAAACTTTAATTGCTTATTATACAGAGACAGTGTTGCCCTATGTTTTAAAAGAACAGAAAAGTCAATAGCATCAACACTCTGAAATTTATCAAAGCAGTGAAACAAGATTGAGATTTTGTAGAGGTGCCTACCATGCACTGCAGGGTTGGTGTTAAGTCTCGGGTCTATAAAAGCCATATGTCTTATGTAGGAGACCCCAAGGGCCTATGTTTTGAGGGTGTTCCTCACAAAATCATCCAGCCTGTTCCAGGGCTGGAAGGGCTACTGTGCCCTTCCAGGTAACACTGCTGTGGAGAACAGAGCCCTCTACTGAATCTGAACAAGCCAGCCATTCAACTCATGAGACATTCGGGAAAAGAATTAAGAGTGCCTGACTGCCTTAACTGATCATTGTGAGGATGAACTGTTCTGATGTGAATGCGCTTTATAACTTATATATGGGAAGACAGAAATAGGGTCCTTCAAGAAGTTTATGGGAAAACAAAATAAAAAGTTTATTTCATTGCAAAAAATTAGTTCCCTCATAGAAGTGGTTTAGTTGCTTTCAATTTATATTATTATTAGCCTTGAAAATTGACTGTGTAGCAGGTACTAGGCTATTCAGCACCTATCATTAATTCACCTAACTGGGAGACACGTATCAGATCCCTACATTGCAGGAGGCCCAGAATGATTAAGTACTTTAACCCTAAATTGTTGTGTGGATATGCTGGAGTTATGTTTCAACTCTCTGCCCTCAATTTCAACAATAATTCCTCTCTTCTCCATGCCTTTCTCTGTCTTCAGTGTAACACGTATAGAATGAGGAAAAGCTGCTGACACATAGACTTTAACTTAGAGTACAGTTTTGTCTACTATCACAGAGTTTGCTGCTAACGAATCTCTCAGCCAGCCAGAAACCCTGTCTGCCCTGAAGAGATGGAAACTCAGGACTAGGACGGATGAAGGGAGCAATGTGTTGCGCCCTAAGATGACATTTTGTGTGGTCCCTTTGTGGGTTGTAACTGTACTCCCTTTAACTGCTTTTCATTTCTCACTCTCAGAGGTGTGGGGTGAGAAGAGGATTAATTAGAGGGAGCCACCACTCCTGCCTGCTGACAAAATGTTGCTCATAAACTGTGGGCTGGGGATAGATGTCCCTATAAAACAAGAAAATGAGAGACTATTCCTCTCCTGCAAAAGACTGTGAATTGGCATTACTCTGTGTTAAGACACGCTCAGCCTATTGAAAGGGGCTTTCTTTTCCAATCAGTGACCATACTTCTTGAAGTGACAAGATCACACATTCTTATTATAATGCAAACGTTAGGTGCACCAGTTTATCTATGTACCCATCTTCAAATCATAGATCCACAATTAATTATCTACATTATCTGTAAAACTTAACCAATTTTCTTTTCTTCTCTGAAATTCCATTTCTATATTTATAAACTAGGCATCATTCCATTACTCTCATGGGAGTGTTGCACAAATTGCATTCAAGGATACAATGCAGATAAAACCAAATTAGCAGGGTGAGCAAAATGCTTTCCATAGCTTATAAAATCCAAATTAAGAGAGCCTTCTGTCAGGGAGAAAGCAGGCAAAGTGTGGGGCTTGCATCCCAACGTGGACGTGGAGATCATATTCTATATTCCATGTTCTGGACTCACATAGATTTTCCTGGAAAACAAAGAAAACAAAACTGAGAGTATGCTTTGTTATTGCAAAGATCCAGGGACACCTTTAGATTCATCTAGATTTTTTCCTCTGAAAGAAAGAGGGAAGGAAAAAGTAAGATGAAGGAAAAAGTAAAGTTTTTTTTTTTTAATTATTTACATGTAGGGAACAAATTTCATGTATTTCATATGTTAATTTTAAGAGCATGATGATACTTTATTCCCACCCTACCTCCTCCTTCCTTTATTTTTCTTTTACTTTCTATAACATACACTTTGTTTGCTTTGTAATCACAATCTTAACCCTCCAATAAACATAAAAATAAAGCTTTATATTGATTTGTCACTTAATCAGTTTAGAAAAAATAAAATACCTGTATGTAAAAACTGATGACAATGTGACATTCATGTTCATGATCTGATGTTTTGAGGTACATATATGTGAAAAATTATCACCGCACTCAAACCAACTAGCATACCCATTGTCTTTGGTGAGTGTGTATGTGTGTGGATAGAACACTTATGATCCACTCTCTTAGAGAATTCCAAGTGCTCAATACCCTAATTCTAACTATCTTCACCAAGCTTCACATTAGATTCTCTGGATTTGTTCACAATGATTTATTAAAATATTATATCCTTTGACCTATATCTTCCCATTTTCCCCTCCTGTACCCAGCCCATGGCACCTGCCACTCTACTCTCTGCTTTGACAAAGTTGAACATTTTATGCCATTTGTTATGAGATCATGCAGTGAGTTTCTATGTCTGGCCTATCTCACTTTGCAAATCCCTTTCAGCATTTTACCATGTTGTAACAAACAGCAGATTTTTATTATGCTTCAAGGTTGAATAATAGCCCATTGTGTGTGTGTGTGTGTGTGTGTGTGTGTGTGTATATATACTACATTTTCTTTATTCATCCCTTGGTGCACACAGGTTGTTTCCATATCTCAGCTATTATAAACAATGTTTCCATTAACATGGGTGTGCAAATGTCTCCTGGACATCTGACTTAATTTCCTTCAAATATATATGTAAATATGCCTAGCATGGGATCATCACTGGATATGGTAGTTCCATTATAGGATTTTAAGACACCTCCATTACGTTCTTCACATTGGTGATATTAATTACATCCTCACCAACAGTATACGAGGATTCTCTTTGTTCCTCATCTTGCTGATACTGGTTATCTTTTTTTTAATAAAAACTATATGAACAGGTATGAGATATTATCTCATTGGGATTTTGATTTGCTTTTCCCTGATGATCAGTTATTTATGTTTTGCATATGCCTTTTGCCCACTTGTATTTATTCTCATGAGAAATACCTGTTTAGGTCCAACATTTAAGTCAGATTATTTATCTTTATTTTTGATATTGAGTTGTATGAGTTGCTTATATGTATTTGAATATTAACCCCTATCATGTACATGGTTTGCCAATACTTGGTACTGCTTGGAAGTTGCATTTGTACTCTCTTCATTGTTTCCTTAGTTATGGAAAAGATTTTAAATTTAATTCAATCCAAGTTTCTATTTTTGTTATTTGCATATTTAGTGTTACATAAAATAATCATTGGCTGAATCAATGTCAGGAAGCTTACCTCCTTTGTTTTCTTCTAGTAATTTTATGGTTTCATGCCTTATATTTAGGTCTTTACTCCACTTTGAATTGATTTTTGTATATGTCATGATAAGGACCATTTTTTTTCAAATAAATATGATTGATTTCAAAGACATAGCAACAGAGAGGAAGGGAGAGATGAGATACAGAGATAGAGAGAGATAGAGATAGAGATAGTGGTAGAGATAGTGGTAGAGGGAGAAGGAGAAGGAGAAAGAGAGAGAGAGAGAGAGAGAGAGATCTTCCATAGCACTAGTTAACTCCCCAAATGTCAGATCTGGGCCAGGCCAAACCAGTCTCATATCTCTCATGGTGGCAGGGGCCCAAGTACTTGGGCCATCATCTTCTTCCTCACAGGTACATTAACAGGAAGCTGGATCAGAAGCACAGCAGCCAGGACTCAAACTGCCATTCCAATATGGTATGCCAACATCTCAAATGGTGGCTTAACCCACTGTGTCACAATCCCAGCCCCAGGATACATGTTCATTATTCTGCAGCTGGATATCCAGTTTCCCCAACTCCAAGAGAGTGAATATCACATTGTGTGTTATTGGCACTTTTGCCAAAGTTCAGCTGTTCAAAACTGTGTGAATTTACTTCTGGGATTTCTATTCCAGTCCATTGGTCCAGATGTCTCTTTTTTGCCATTATCATACTGTTTTGATTATTGCACCTTTGCAATATATTCTGAAACAGGGAAAAATGAAGTAAAGGATGAATAAATTATGCATTTAACCAATGGTAATTAGGAAAAAGGAAAGAGGTAAGGAATGGAAAAAGATGTTTATATTGGATTCAAAATGAGCTTGCTCTGGTCTAGGCTTTACCATTAACTTGCGACCTTACTCAACTTACAACCAATCCCTGGAAAGGATATTAAATACAAATTCTAACAGTAGATAAGATGCCTTATAAAATTTTATACCCCCCTGATTTTTGTTCTAGCACGGTTAAAGATTATGGATATGCAATATTTTATTAAACATGAATCAAAAACTGAAAACACATATAGGTCTAGTAACAATGAATGTAAGTGGATATACATCTTCACGAGGCAACTCCAATTCTACTCTAATAATTAGACATGGATTTATTCCATCTAGTACATTCCCAAAACACCAAAACTTCACAGTTAGATGGTTTGCAAGTGCTTTAAGGAAAATCAGGAACAAAGAAAGGAGGAAGGAAGAAGGGAGAAAAGACAGAAGTTACCATTAGGTTCCAAGAAGAAGAATGTTTCCACTATAATGGGCCCTCATTGATGGTGACGAGCTGGAGAAACACGGAAACAAAATGATCTGAAGGGGCTTTCCTGCTACTTTTACATCATCACTTACTTCTGATGGCAATTTCATTGTGTCTGACTTCTGCACTCAAAGTATGTAAGACGTCTGCACATATTGACAAGATGCATGGGAGCAACGGAGAGGCTGCAGGATGGGACCTACCTGGGTTATGAACACACCTGCTCATCACTTCAGGAGAATGGGGGGCGGAAGGAAACAGATAATTGTACATCCTGGCTCATCCGATGGTAGCGAAGGTGAAGAAAATAAAGACAGTGAGAAGCAAAAAAGAGGTAGAAATAGCTAAGATTCTGATTTCAGGATAAGAAATCAGGAAGGACAGAAAATCTTGTCTTAATTCGGTGTAAAGTTTTGTTCTTTTAAGGCAGTACATCTGAAGTAAAATATGGACTTCTTTTTATGGTTTAGAAATTTTAACATTTTACTCCCAAAGCATTTCTGCAACTATGATCTTTCCTAACAACCTCTTGATACAAAGCAGTTATTGTTTCCCTTTGAAATGGAAGCTAATAGGCATAGAGAGGTACTGTGACTTTACATAAGTCATTTAATGAATTGATGATAAACCTATGATTAACCTCGTACTTCCTGTTTCCTAGACCACAGCTCTTCTACCTGGGCAGTCCAGCATCCTTTCAGTAAAAAGGTCCCTCTCTGAAGGTGACATCACAAGGTGGCTTGTAGGAAAGCTACTGGCTTTTTGTATCAGGTTCAAAACTTTCACAACTGGGACCAGTACTATGGCACAGCAGGTTAAACCCCCATCTGCATTACCTGTATCCCATGTGGGTGCCAGCTGCTCCATTTCTGATCCAACTCCCTGCTAATGGCCCTGGGAAAGCAGTGGAATATGGTTCAAGTCCTTGGGCCCCTACACTCATGTGGGAGACCCAGGAGAAGCTCCTGGCTCCTGGCTCCTGGCTTCAAACCAGCCCAGCTTTGGCTGACGTGGCCATTTGGGAAGTGAATCAGCATAGGGAAGATCTCTCTCTCTCTCTGTTCTGCTCCCTCTCCCTCAGTAATTCTGCCTTTAAAATAATTAAATCTTTTGTAAATTTTTTTTTCACAAGTGCAGTGACCAGTTGGGGATTTGCTTTGACCTTGCTGAATTAGCCATAGTTCAGTTAACCCCTTCTGGGCAGTCATCAAGTGCAAGGACTGGTTTGCATTCTTTTCATGGCACATCTTCAGAAGAGAGTTCTGAAGCTATCAATCAAAGCAGTTGTTTGTGGATTGTTCTTTAACAGCCAAGTTCATTTTAGCAATTCTGATGAGCAGGTCTACTTTGTGCATTGTGGGTGGGACTGCTGTGGTATTAATGTTATGTGATTTCAGTATGTCATGTCAGGAGGCATTAACAATATCACTTTGTCTCAGTATTTGTAATGTTAGATTAGATAACAAGTGGTGTCCAGGTTTGTTCATAGGTGAGGTCATCCCTCTTCTCATAAAAACATGAAATGTGGGGGTAGCATAATGAGATTTAAAAAACTTAAATTTTTTGAAAGAATTGAAAAAGATTTTCGGATCCTGGTGTACTCAGCTAATGCTGACAGCAAAGAAAATTGTTTTCATCTTTCAAAAGGATGATCTGAACAGATAACAAAAGCCAAGTCTCACTAATGAAAATTTATGCTAATAAAAAACTATTAAACAGGAAACAAAAGGCAAAAAAAAATCTAGATGTAGCCCAAAATGACAGTGGGCATTTATACGGTAAGTTTCAATGGGTCAGTCAACGGACTATTAAGTAACCAGATCAACAGAGCTTTTGGAAGCACCTGCTGCTGCTTAAAGATGGTGATATGAAATCATCAGAGGGAGAAGAAGAGCCTTTATTTCAATTGCTCATTCGCCCATGCTAGAGACCAGGCTTGGTTCCCATGCTTTGTTCTCTAAGACAGACTCTTCCAGTGCAGTATAAGATCAATTTTCTGAGACATCAGTAGATATACAGTTATTGTCCTCCCAGAAGTCTAACTAAAACAACTCTTATTGTATCCTGTGGTCCTGACCAGGAGGAAGTCAAGAGAATAAGCCAAAACATGAGTTTACTGCTGGGAAG